CTTCCAATGAAAAAAATGTTTTCTCAATGTTTTCTTAGTATTTCTACCGCTTACCTTCTACAAACAATGTTTTTCTTGGAGAATTTGGCATGATCTTTAGATCAGTCTTCAACAATGCATTTCATTTAGCATTAGACGAACAAATAAAAACATTTCCCAAAGGCCTGTTCATGGCCTTCACTGCCTGGTGTATTATTATATACATATAAACGGTTGGGATTTACCATTGAAAAGGACGTTTCTGTGGAAACGACTCTACATACTGACAGACTGTGTTTATATGTTTATAGATGTGCCTTCAGATCCGCCCACTGTAAACTGCTTTCCTGTCATCTCCACATGGAGGTTCAGTATCTGAATATTGACTGTAAGCTATCAAATTTTTTATTAGAAACTGTGAGGAAGCTGATAGTGACGCAGAAGGAGTTGTTTACTTCTACTGTCTGTGTTGTATATTTGTTCTCTGCTTCTGACGAGGCCTCCTCCTACCTGGGTCTTCAATTGTTAAAACAGATGGAAAGTCATAATTGGTTGACAAAACTATAGCAAAGACTCTTAGGAGACTGTGTCACTGGTTCAGCGATGTGTGCCATCTTGAAGATGTGTTGTGAAAACTGGCTTGCAAAATGATACAGCTTTAGGTTACATTCAATTCATGGTGCTCTGGGTATTTACTATAATGAGAGATCTATATTCTCATCATGAAATCTGGTCTGATACAGCTGATGTCTTAACAGCAATGTGAATCAGTTGTATTGATGCACAGCTTTGTCTGTACTGTGTTGCTGCTCCATTGCCTCTGTTTATTCACTGAGGAAGGTACACAAACCAGGCAGCTGTGAGTTGGTGCTGTATTGATTGAAAAATGAGATTAGCATGTGCAGCTGGAGGACAGATGGTTCAGACTTCAACCCTGTGGTCACAGCAGTTACCTATGCAAAGCTCTACAGACTCCGACAAAGGCACAACCTGTTTAAATGTTTAAAGAGATGTAAAAAAGAATAGGTTCCCAGCATTTCTATTTATTTAATACATTGTGGTGTTTTATAAGTGACCATTATTTGACACGATTAATTTGCTCAGAACTGCTGCAATTGATCATAAAGCAATTGTTTGGAAAAGAAGCTATCTATCTATCTATCTATCTATCTATCTATCTATCTATCTATCTATACATCTATACATCTGTACATCTATACATCTATACATCTATACATCTATCTATACATCTATCTATACATCTATCTATACATCTATACATCTATCTATACCTATCTATCTATATAGATATATATAGATATACATCTATATATAGATATATAGATATATAGATATACATCTATATATAGATATATAGATATATAGATATACATCTATATATAGATATATAGATTATATATACAAACTTCAGTCATGGAACCGTGCTTACAGCTCCTTATTTCATGTAAACTAATATCTTGTGTACATGTTACTTGTTGATGGCATTAAAATTATTTCTATTAGCATTAAATTAGAGTTCCTCATTCCTATATAAACCCTGTGAATGTTTAATTTAATATGACATATTAAAAAAAATCCCCATCATCATCCAGCAGATGTTCAGTTTCTGCCCAAATATTTTCTTTCTGTGGATTTTTGTAACAGGGATAAACAGGATCATACATAGTTTGTATGAACTCTGTTTGTTCTCTGCTTCCAAACTCATCATCTCTTCATCCATTCCTGCAATAAGAATTTTCTTTTAAAGTTGCAAGATGCGCTCTAGAATCTCACAACTTCTTCCTGGTCTGTTGAAGCACCAATAGTCTGCATCCAATTATTTAATTAATTGATCTTAGTTTTTTGGATATATTCGAATTATTCTTTAATTTCTAGTTACCGATCTGTTTTTACTATAATTTAATTTGACAAACCGGGTCTTCTGTACATTCTTTTTCCTGTTTGGTGTGATTGCAATAGGGCTTGGCCATGTTGAATGCCTCTTTTACCGCGGCTCAGACTACTGCCTATGACTACCGCGTAGCCTACTGTACTCCCTCTCAGCCGTGTTTTAATTTGATTAATTTCACCTTAACTTGATTTCAACCATGGTAAACCGTTGCTGTATTGTGGGCTGTAACAG